GAAGTAAAAAATAAACCGAGAATCTGTTTCTGCTGTGTCAGCAAAGGTAGCACCTACAAAAAACAATATTTGTTAATGATTTTAGTGCTTTTCTAGATATGAGAAGATGCAAAAAGTTGGGCTTATATCTTCTCCTGCAAATATCTGTCTGAAGTCTTGCTCTGCCAGTTTTGCCCCAGACCATGGAGTGCCTCATTCCTGATCTTCACCTTGTACCCTTTTTAAGATGTGTTGAAGGTCAGCGACTGCAGTGGCTCGTGACTTCATCCTTGTAGAATCAGATGGTTAGTGACAGTTTTTGGCTGGAATCCCTGATTCTCAGGGCAGTCCTGGGGGCCAGTTGGACAGCCCAACTTCTGCCAAGATCTATAGGTCGTTAGATATCAGGGTGTATAGAACAGCACTGGGTCCCTCACTGCCTGGCTTGGCCAACTCTGGTTCTGTTGGGGTATTGCAGAGTGGTGGGGATTCTACTTTGGGATAAGTCCTGATCTTGTCTGCAGAAGCAAGGGGAAGCAGATGGTTTGGGGAAATCCAATTTAAAAGGAAAGAAATCAAATTAGTTCTCCAAGGGCCTGCCAGCCAATACTTGAGTGAAAACTATTGCATTAGCTGCTCAGGCTTCTCTAAGACAGCATTAAAACTGACGGTGAGGTGGGCTGAGCGGGGGAGTAGAGAACTTAGCTTGGTGGAATAAAGTCCTAAGATCCCAATGAGCCCTGGCTTGGGAACCATGAACCCGCAGCTGACTCTGACATTGACTTTGCATGGCTCTTAGACCCTCCCTGAACTTCCCTTTCCCAAACACCCACAGGAATAATCCCAGCCCTCTCGGAGTATGGTCACTTATTCAAGGAAATCACCCCTCCATAGCTTAGTTACTGAGATTTCCACTGCCAATCCCCATAGGATGTGAACGTGATGAGGCGGGCTCATCTAGGGAGGCTGTCCCAGGTGGTCCACGAGCCAGTCCGCTCTAACAGGGGGAAGTATCTCAGGAAGTTCTTTTTGCCTAATCTCTGTGCTTGTAAGGCCATGGGGCCATAGGGTGCCCTGAACGGGGACACTGCCCCCTTTGCCATGACCCCTAGGACCAGGGGTCAGCATCCTGACAAGAGGTGCTGGTAGGGTTTTTTCTTATTGGATAGTGCCGGCCACCTGTTTAGACCCTTTCTGTAAAGAGATGCCCTTTCTGTAAAGAGATGCCACATGCAGAGCTGGGATGAGCCACTGTCTTGGGCCTCTGCCAGGTCTGTTGTGCAGTCCAGGCTACAAGTTCCAGTGTGGCTACTGAGATGCTGAATATCTGCTCCCAAATTCCATTGTTTAAGGGTTGGAGTTCTCTTTTCTTTGCATTTTTGTTACCCCCAAACTGGGTTGCCTCCTGGTGGGTGTCGAACCAGAGTGGGAGAAGTGAGGCAGGAGGTAGATGGGGCCCCCAGGGTAAAGTGATTGAAGATTCATCCCCTGTGGACTGAAACTTGAAGATGAGAATAGCAAGATAATCTGATGTTTAAGCTGAAGCTCCAGTACTTTGGCCACCTGATGTGAAAAGCTGACGCAGTGGGAAAGACCCTGTGCTAGGTAAAATTGAGAGCAGGAGGAGAAAGGGATGACAGAGGATGACATGGTTGAATGGCATCACCGACTCAATGGACACGAGTTTGAGCAAGCTCTGGGAGACGGTGATGAACAGGGAAGCCTGGCATGCTGCAGCCCATGGGGTCGCAAAGAATTGGACATGACTGAGCCACTGAACAGCACAAGGTGGGAAGGGGGCCCTGCCCAGAGTATATATTTCTTATTCTCAAAGTCTGGATACCTCCCTGACCACATGTGTGCAGAAGGGGTCCTTGGAGGTCAAAGGGGAGTGATGCTAACTAATGGCGGTCTACCCAGAGGACTTTGTTGTAGAATCCAGCTTGACTGAGAGATGTGTGCATACATACGGGAGGATCCTGAGATATACGAAATATGGTCTGTGAACCAGGCAAATCAAAATGATTAGCCAAAGGAAACCTGGAAGAAATACACCAAAAAAGTGATTCAAACTGCCAGGAGGGTGCGACTCGGTGACTTGCTCTTCCACCTGAGTCCGACTGTGCGCCTATCCACACATACTGTACACTTTGTCCTCTTAATACAATTTTACTTACTTCAAAACTTTCTGTCTTTGTGTAAATTCTTTTCTGCAGAGCCAAAGGGCCAGGGCCTTGTCACTGACCACTGGTCTAGTGGTTAGGATCGGGTGTGCTTACTGTCTAGACTTGGCCTCAGTCTCAGGCTGGGAATCCAAGCCCTGCTTCAAGGCATTGCAGGCCAAGGTCATCCAAGATCATATCAAAGGATTTATTACTTGCTGAAACTAATGAGAACACTGGGGGTCTTTTTCAAAGTGGGGTCATTTGGTCAGATGGTAAAGAATCTGTCTGCAATGCAGGAGACCTGGGTTTGATCCCTGAGCAGGGAAGATGCCCTGGAGAAGGGAATGGCAACCCACTCCAGTATTCTTGCCTGGGAAATCCCATGGACAAAGGAGCCTGGCAGATTATAGCCCATAGGGTTGCAAAGAGTTGGACACAGCTGAAGCGATTTAGCACATTCCCCAAAGAGCAAAATCAGGAAAGATTTAAACTAAGAGTCCATGCATATTGATGAAGAGGCTTGAGGAGAGGAGAGTTCAGCATAGAATTGGGGCAAAAGTTGACAGTATTTGTTCTTTCCTATCTGGCTTATTTTGCTTGGTAACACGTCTTCAACGCTCATCCTTATTGCACCGTGTTCAAACTTCATTTCTTTTGAAGGCGAAATAATACTCCATTTTAAGGATCTGCTACATTTTTGTGTATCCCTTCATCTGTTGACTGACATCTGTGTTGTTCCCACCTTTTGGTTATTGTGAATAATGTTGCTCATCGGTGTTCTGAATTCTTACTGTAATGGCTTTCAGGGCTATTTTTATTCTTTTCCTTTTTTTTTAAAATGTGAAGATAGAGCCCAAACAGAATCAAGAAGTGGAAAATAAAGACAGGTTTCCTACGCTTCTGTACTCTCCCCTGCCCCCAACCCCATGTTGTTTATCTCACTCTGTCATAATTGCTGGATTGATGCTCAGCAGCTCACTAGATTGCAGACTTTCTGAGTGAAGACTGTCTCCCACCTGGTGGCCTGGTAAGACCAAGTGACACCCCCAGCATCCCCTTACCCCTCCTTTCTGGTTAGCATGGAGCACCACTAGGGGTGGGGGTGGAGGAGCAGGGGTTGTTGGCTATCTCACACAAATTGCTATTGCTTTCCTGGCTCACTCAGCTTCTCCACGTCCCAGCCTGTGTGTATTTGACTCCACTGCATCAGATCCTGGCCTCTGCAGGGCTCACACACCAATATCAAGCACCAGAACGGAGTGTGTGTCTGTGTGTGTGCACGTGCGTATGCGCACGCACTTCTGTGGTAGTTCAGCAGCTAAGACTCTGTGCTCCCCATGCAGGGGGCCTGGGTTTGATTCCTGGTTGGGAAATTAGTCCCACGTGCTACAACTAAGAGTTCACATGCCATGGCTAAGACCTGGAGCAGAAAAATAAATAAATAAAAGAATAAGAGGAGATTCGGATTTGTTGTCCTCATGGGCTCCACTTGTTCCCTTTTCACCCAGGTTACATCTATTTGTGTTTCCTGACTCTCTGCCCGTGGGCGTCGAGTTCCAACGATGGGGCAAACACAATAGTCTTACAGAGGCTGCTTAACCAGCTCTTGTGGTTGGGTGAGGTCAAATCCCTTAGAAAAGTATTTAATACTCTGCATCTCTGTTTAAACCCTGATGGGTATATCCTCATGTATTCAACCAACAAATTTTGAGTACCTACCATGGACTAGACAATGGGTCCTGAGGGTAGGGCAGGGAGTAAAACAAAGACTCTTGCCATCAGGGAGCTCATGTTTATAGTTGTATCCTCCAGACACATTGTGTTGCTGCAAGAAAAGTCCTGGGCTAGGTTCCAGGGTTGATGTATGAACAATGGTGAGATCTGGACCAAAATTCCTTCATCTCTCAATGTCCTGATGTCTTCACAAGTAAAACCTTCTCACCTACTTCTCATCCAAGCACAGAGCCAGGACTTCCCTGATGGTTCAGTGGTTAAGAATCCACCTTCCAATGCAGGAGACGTGGGTTTCATACCTGGCCGGGGAACTAAGATCCCATGTACCTTGGGACAACTAAGCCTGTGGTGAGCTGCAATGAAAGATCTGGCATGTGGAAATTAAGACCCAGTGCAGTCAAGTAAATAAACAAATATTGCAACAAAACAAGGGACTTCCCTGGTGGACCCGTGGCTTAGATTCTGTACTCTAAATGCAGAGGGCTCAGGTTCAATCCCTGGTCCAGCAACTAGCTCCCACGTGTCGCAACTAAGGCCTGGCACAGCCAAATAAATAAATAAATATTAAAACAAAACACAGAGCAAAGAGCAGGTGAAAGACGCCTGAAAAAATAAGCAGCTCTAAAAAATCATAAGAGGCAAAACTCCAAAACCAGTTTGGAATGTTGTCATCATCTTTTATTATGTATCAAATTGTCTTTAACATTAAGTTACAACCTGATTAAACTTGATAGACATTTTTATCTATTTAAAGACACACACAAAAAAATCTCCCTATGTACAATATCTTTTGTCTAGAGTCTAGCAAACATAGTACCTTTCATTGCAGGATTTCTGCTTAATATAATAAGCAAAAACAAATGACCAAAAAATATATATATTTATATAAAACCAAAGCAAACCCAAATCCCCAAGTCCCTTAACTACAAACATTAAAGTTGAATAAAGCATTAAAAACACAAACATCGAATAACTTTCTTTGTTTAGAAATGCAGAATGAATACTAAAGTTAGTGGCAAAGGGTTAAAAAAAAAACAAAACACCCCATAAAAACAGAACCCCGGAAAAATAACCAGCGGTCTTCACGGGTGAACTTTCCTGCTCAGGGCACAAAGCTTGACTCTAGACCATGTCTCGGTTTCTGCGGATGGCACAACATAGAATCATGCTGAAAACCATGCCGAATATCTGGAAGACAGGAAGCGGTGTGAGGGACTGCCTGACTTTCTGCTGGAAGGTGGAGGGACGGGGGGAGACGGGAGCCACTGAGGCCATGACAAACGACAGGGAGGCAGGACACGGGGGGGTTCCGGTGCTCCAGTGGTTCAGACTCCACACTGCCACTGCACAAGCCAGCTCTTGTGAACGCTCAGCGCGAGACGGGCCCGGAGCAAAATTTAATGCTCAAATTCCAACTATTCCAATATCCCTCAAGAAACCTTCACTTTCCTCTTTGTGCTTGTGTTTCATATTCTAGTTTTACTTTTTTTTTTTTTTTTAATTCTTAAAAAAAAAATTTTGGCTACATCACATGACCTGTGGGATCTTAGTTCCCTGACCAGGGAAATGAACCCATGACCCCAGCAATGGAAGTGTGGAGGAGTCTTAAACCACCAGACTACCAGGAAGCTCTTATATTTTAGTTTTAAAGATACTTTTGTGCTTTTTACTGAAAGTGGCTTCAAGGCTTTCCTAGATGCAGAGGAGGGATGCCAACTACCACTAAGAGAGGAAGTGGTTTTCTCTCTTGGAGTCTTTGCGACGGGCAGAGGAGGGCTGTGTTTCCCACTGAATCTCATCACTCCCTCGTGGGGGCTCCCCTGGGGAACCTGATTGGCCCCTGATAGCTTCTGGGGATTGACTGGCAAGAGAGAGATGGTTGGAAACTTTTAGTCCCCTTCTAGTTGTTCACCTGTGGGTGTCTTTCTGACCATAGCAGGACGTGAGACAGTTCACATCCACGTTGCTTTTACTGAAACTGCTTTCATAGGACAAAGAAAAGCAGGTGCTTTTTGTAAAAACATGTCCTGAAGATTATCTGGGGATCACTAACAGGGTGTCTGGGTGACCTGCATCCTTGCTGCTCCAAGTGTGGCCCATGGACCAAACACAATGGAATCACCTTGCATTTATTCCTGAAACCTTTCAGGTAGTGGGAATGGATTCTGGAGAAACACTGAGTTCAAGTCTCAGAAGCTTCGCTCCTGACCTCAGAGACTGATCAACGTACTTAACCTCTCTCTCTCTGGAATCTGTAAAGCGGGAATATGAATAGTTCCCACCTCATGGGTATGGCAAGGGTTAAATACATTGATAAATTAATGGTGAGTGAAAACAGTGCCTGGTCAGAGTAAGAACTTCATAAACTGTAATTACTAAGGTGTTTTCCCAAAGCCCCTGACACTCACCATCACCACGGCGATCCCAATACCCACGGCGCCGATGATGTGGAATTTGCTTCGGAAGATCTCGTCGATGGCTTCAGGGCAGGGCTTAGTGGGGAAACCAAGACCCAGATCAACACACAGTCCTACTCCAGGCTCACCCCCTCCCTCCATGGCACTCATCTGACTCCTGGGCTGTTGTGGTTCCAAAGCGAGGGATGGGGACTGGCTGATGGGTGGAAAGGAGAACCAGTCCCTCAAGTTTGGGCAAGAAACCACGGAAGGAAGAGGGCTGAGCCCCTGCTTTGGGATCCGTGTCTCATCTGGCCATAGGGTTTTTATTATTGTTGGTCGCCAAGTTGTGTCCAACTTTTTTGCGAACCAATGGACTGTAGCCCGCCAGGCTCCTCTGTCCATGAAATTTTCCAGACAAGAATGCTGGAATGGGTTGCCATTTCCTTCTCCAGAGGATGTTCCCGACCCAGGGATTGAACCCGTGTCTCCTGCATTGGCAGGCAGATTCTCTACCACTGAGCCACCAGGGTACCCTGGCCATAGAGTTACTTCCTATTACTATGATGGAAGTTTGTACATTCGCTCCAGCTCACACACACGAGCTGCTCACAAGTCTAGAAGGCAAGAGTCCAGGGCTGGGAGGACCCCCTGTGCACGAGGGCTGGATGGAGGCCCAGTGGCTGCAGGCAGCTAGAAGGCTTTGCCACTTCTCTGGTCTCTGATTTGCTGCCCTGGAGGAGTCAGAGACCCAGGGCAGGGGAGAAAGGAGACAGCCACCCTGGGTGCTTCCCACAGGGAAGAGGTGTTTAGGAAGCACCACAATGCTGTCCTCACAGATCAAGGGGGCTGAACGCATGTCCTCTTTGGTGGGATTTACCCAGAGCAGCTGGGCAAGGCATAGGGTCTTGTGCTAAGCTTACCTTCATTTTCAAGCTGCCAGCTAAATTCTTTGAGGGGCAGGTGTCGGTGAAAAATTGTTCTACCACCCCGGTCAAACCACAGCAGTCCAGCTGCAGAGAGAAGGACAGGGTTGGGGGTTAGAGAGACAGATAACGAGGACTGAGGCAGAGATGCACATGAGTTCGGAAGAAAGTCAGGCGGGACGGGAAGCTGGTGTACCGCAGTGTGGATGGCCCTCAGCGTCTCTCGCTGAGGTTCGTCCTTGTTCTTCAGCTTATTGTAGGTGTCCTCGTAAAACTTCTGGACTTCCTTGATCACCTGGGAAGCACAGACAACAGATGAGCAAGCGTGGATTCTTTACGAACAAATGTCACCTGTTCCATCTTGCTCACATGCAGCCACAAATTCTCTTGCTCTGCAATGTCACAGGGCAGAGGCACCACTGGGCTAGGACAGCCCCCTCAGGATCTCTGGGGTTCCCCATCTCATCCCACATCCTCTAGGAACCCCTCCGGCCATCTCCCCTTCTGCTTGAACCTTTGGCTGGCCCCTGTAGCCCCACTTAGCTCTTTCCCTTCTACCGAGAAAAAGAAAATTAAATTGCCTCAATATAAGGAATTAAAAGCAAAAATCCTATTCCTGATCCGGCTAGTTCTTTTTCCTTCTAGCTTCCATCTTTTTCCTTCACTTTGAGACTGTGTGACTTTTAGTAAATTACCAAACCTCTCTGCACATGAGTTTCTGTGTATGTAGAATGGAGATTGTAATGGTTCTAACCTCAGAGGTTATCTTGAAGAGTTACTGGCGATATTGCATTAAGCCTGTAGCAGTGTCTGGTGCAGAGTACATATGGGATAAGAACTGGCTATTATAACATGAAGGAGATACTCTTATCCTCCTGCACCTGGGCACATCTCCATTTAACAAATGCTTGTCCCTTGCTCCCCACCCCCAAAACCAGAACTGATCAACATCCAGCATTTCCCGTAGCAGCTTTCATAATTAGCCTTTCCTATTTCCATGGCCGTGGGCTTTATCATCCGGATAATTAAATCTTTTCCTCCCCCCCTTCCCCACCTCCACTGTCTCTCTTCTTTTGTCCCTCCTGCTAAATATGAAATGACATCCCTCCCTAAAACACTGCTCTGATGGAGCCCCACCCTGGTCCCCCACCCAGCTGTGCTCAGACCCTTTCTTTGCCAGGAAGCCCCTGCCTCCACCAACTTTCCTCCTGACATCCCCTTTCTCCATCAAGGTTTTGGTCAATGCCTCCCTCTCCACAAAGCCAGAAGAGACACCCCTCGCCTACCTACGCCAGCTTTTCAAATCCTAGGGGGTTTCTGGAATATAAAAATGACTTTTGTAACACCAGTCAGTCCTTATCCCTCATGAAGTGGCAAAGTTCCTTGAAACGGGGAGCACAGCTCATCCATCTCTGGACCCCACGGAGAATGTGGCATAGCTCTTGGCTGTTGGTGGCATGTGTTTATAAACTAGGGGAAGGGGCTAGGCCACACAAAGCACTTTTTTCCCAAGCTGTGTACCAGAGAAGTTACGGGAATGCTGCAGAGGTATGAGAGGCAGATATCGACCCGACCATACTGCCCGAAACCTTCTCTACGACAGCGCCCGGGAGGCTGGTGCTCACTCCCATCCCCTGCTCTGGGGAGCCCCTGTTAGAGGCACGTTTGATGGCTGAAGGCTGACCCAAGTGACCAGCTGGGATACCCTTCTGCCGCCATCACCCCTATGCCCCCGACTCCTAAGAGGTCTTACGGGAAAACCTACCTCCTCCTTGTGGGAATATCCCCAGATGGCTGCAGCTACTTCAATGGCAAATATCACCAAGAGGAAGCCGAAGAACTGGAAGAGAAAGGGCTGGAGTTAGGCGCAGGCCCAGCCAGCTGGCCAAAACAAGTAGAGGGCATTTTGGAGACCAGGCTTCTGGGGACCTGGCATCGGGGGCTGGAAAGGGCAGGAGGAGGTTCAGAGCTGCCAGCGCTTGGCCAAGGCCAGAAGCAGGGAAAAGCCACAGGGGGAAAGCATCAGAGACCCCAGACTAGTATTTCTTTTTTTCTCACAAAGCAAGAGACTTGATTGGGAAGGGGTGCCGTGCGGGAGAGCAGGAGGGTAAGGGAACGCAGGAGGACTGATCTGCCACGTGGCTGAAAGTCTTTGGTTTTAAGGTGACGGGATTAGTTTCCGGGTCAGAACCAGTATTTCTAAAGGTGTTAATGAAGAGGCAGGGATTAAAAAAAACACCTCACCCGCTCACAAAACCCACAGAGATTTGAGGAAAGAAGGAAGTGAATACACTCTGGAGTATAAGGAGAACTGTAACACAAACTTTGAAATAAGAGGAGGTGAAGGTACCTGTGGATTCAGGGAAAAAAGGCAAACGTGGTCCTCAAAAAAGGGATAAACAAAGTCCTGGCATTTAGTTGCCTAAGGGAAGTGACAAGACAGTAGCTCCAGGAAGGAAGAGGGGCTAGCGTGTCACCACATAGGGGAGGAGACACTTGGGGTTAGGGCCCTGGGGACCCGCCCCACCCCGTCCCACCCCCTGGTCTATGGGACCCCAGGAGGGGGACCTGGGAGGCCAGGGGCCGTGGGCATGCAGGGGACACTCACCAATCCCAGCATGCACTGGGACTCCTGCACGGCTCCACAGCAGCCCAGGAAGCCCACCAGCATCATGAGTGCACCGGCTCCGATCAGAATATAGACTCCTGGGGGACAGGGCAGGGTTAGCGGGGAGGCCCAGTTGCTTCTTAATCCCCTTCCTCTCCCGTGTCCTCGCGGGCCCTGCATCCAATCCCATCAGCCTTCTCCACCTCTGTGGGCAGGTCTTCTCCCACCTCCATGACCCGCCCATCAAGCCCCAACTCCCATCAGACCCTCAGCCCTCCTGCAAGGTGCCCACTGTCCTCTTGACCCAGGATAGACTGGTCCAGTTGATCAGCTGTTTCCAGTTGGGATGGATCCACTCCTGCTAAATTAGACCCTCCGAACTAGGGACTAACTTCCCGGGGACTCTGACAAGCGTCGTGCTGACCTCTCTACCCGACAGAAGAGGCTGTCAGAGCAAGCCTTCATCAGGAAGGGGCTGCGCACACGCAGGCAACTATGCCCTGGGAGGGCAGCTCGACCAGGTTCCCAGAGGGGATGCTTGACGGCGGGTGGGAGCCAGGCACGTGCAGTTAACAACATCCAAGGGCAAGAGAACCCTGCTTCAGTACCAACTCTGCTTCTAACTGCTGTGTGATCTTGGGTAAGACACTTTCCCTCCCTGGGTGTCAATCTCCTTACAAGTAAAATGAGAAGTTGGTTGCTAGGAAATTTCAAAAGATGCCTTATAGCACACCAATGGGATCTTCAGCTGCAATTCAGTCACCCCAGTGTAAGCGTGCAAAGGACCCTCCTTAGTAAAGGGAGGTTGAGTGACATGGTTTCTAAACACTCAGTTGGGTGTCTGATGGAGACGGGTGGCGAGAGGCTGTGAGTTCTACAACTCTGGCCTGGGATGGGGAACACAGGCTCGGGCCTGGTCATTCCACACTCCCCTCAGGGAACACCCAGAGAGGCCCAGCATGCAGTTATCTTCCTGAGAAGCACAGCTGTCTTGCAGTGACCATCCTCTTAACCCAGCCCACCCCCCTCATTCCCCATGGCCCCGCGGGAAAACTGGCAAAAATGTCCCAGGCCTCCCCAGCTTGCAGGCGTGTTCTGTCCACTCCTGGGAGGGGCGATTGTCGCATGTGAGAACACCAGCTCTGAAGACCAAATGCCTGGGTTTGAAAGCCGGCTCTGTGACCCGGGGAAATCCACTTCACTCTCTGTGCAATAGCTTTTCACCTGCAATCCAGAGGTGAGAAAAATGCCTGCCTCCAGGACTGCCTTGAGGGTCAGGGGATGTGCTCCAAGTGCACACGAGTGGTAGCTACTGTTGATTTTTCTAACTTAAATTTAAAAAATTGGTATCTTTTCATTAAGGTATAGATGTGGTACAATCAGGGTTTCCCTGGTGGCTCAGACAATAAAGAATCTGTCTGCAATGCAGGAGACCTGGGTTCGATCCCTGGGTCAGGAAGATTCCCTGGAGAAGGGAATGGCAACCCACTCCAGTATTCTTGCCTGGAGAATCCCCATGGACAAAGGAGCCTGGTGGGCTACAGTCCACACGGTTGCAAGAGTCGGACACAGCTGAGCGACTAAATAACAGCAACAAAAGATGTACAATCAACAACTGTCAATCTTAACAATAGCAAGGATGGACGACAATTGTGAATAATCACGATTGTGACGATGACTTTCACAGGCGTCCCCGCTGTCCTCTCCCTGGGATCAGGGAGACTGCCCCGAAGTGGGGATGTTCCCCACAATACACAACAGGATGCTGCAATGAAAACCGTCTCCTGCCGGCAGGTGTCACAGTGATTTCACTGCCCCCATCTGTGCCCTCCGCTTCGCCAGAGCTGCGCAGGCAGCAAACCACGCAGCAGGCCCGCAGCTGAGGCTCACCGGCAGCGCAGCGCAGAGTGCACACAAGGGAGCATTTGTCCTCCGCTCATCCCCCCACATCTGCTGTGATGTCAGGTCACGTGGGCTGGCAAACCCTGATGAATATGGGTATTGTTCCCATGCACGTCCAGCCAGACTGGGCAAGGGGACAAATGCAGCTTGTCCTCGAGTCAAGTCCACCCTTCTAGTCCTCCACTCCGAGGCCCACAGGCCAGACCGCCCCGCCCACACAGAGGGCAGTGCTTTTGGGTCTGGACTCCAAGGTTGGGAGCCCAGCAAGCGGGGGCAGTAAACTGGGCCCCTGTCTCTCCCCATTGCCTCCTCTCTCCCCATCAGGGCATGACAACGAAGGATGAGGTCACCCCTTTGAGCCCTATTGCAGGGGCTGGAAAAATAGGGCATATTAAGAGATCAAACTAGTCAATCCTAAAGGAAGTCAACCCTGAATATTCATTGGAAGGACTGATGCTGAAGTTGAAGCTCCAGTACTTTGGCCACCTGATGCAAAGAGCTGATTTGTTGGAAAAGACCCTGATCCTGGGAAAGACTGAAGGCATGAGGAGAAGGATGAGATGGTTGGATGGCATCATCAACTCACTGGACATAAATTTGAGCAAACTTTTGGAGATAGTGGAGAACAGAGGAGCCTGGCATGCTGTAGTCCACTGAGTTGCAAAGAGTCGGACATGACTTAGTGACTGATTTACAAGCCCATAAAATAGAGTTGAGTGGGGATGATCAGACAATTTTCTTTCTGTCCAGCTCCCAGTCCACAAGCCTGGGTGACCCTGGCAGAAGGTGGGGCGCTGGATCGGTGGCCTCAGAGAGCCACTAAAGGCAAAAGCATTTAACATGCAGAGAGAACATTCCCCTAATGGGCCTGATGGTTAATATTAAATATTCATTTCTGGGCTCAGCAAAGATTTTAGGACCAAGTGTCCTGGTTTTCAATCTTGCTCAGACAGTTTGCAGATCTCAGGTGTCTTGGCTTTACCCTCTCCGGGTGGGGATGAAGAGGAGCAATTCCCTGGAGCTATCTATGGGGGTTTTGGCAACGGCCATCAGGCCACAGAGGCTCAGTGGTTAAAAAAATTCACCTGCCAATGCAGGACACGTAAGGGACACGGGTTCGATCCCTGGGTCAGGAAGGTCCCCTGGAAGAGGAAGTGGCAACCCACTCCAGTATTCTTGCCCACTCCAGTATACTATACCTCAGTATTATCTTCATGGAAAATCCCATGAAGATAGGTGCCTGGTGGGCTACAGTCCATGGGGTTGTAAAGGACATGACTGAGCATACACAACATCAAGCCACAGGGTGGCTCAGATGTGAGCAGCAAGCCCTGAAACCCTTGATCCACTGCAGGGCGAGACTGCTGCTCCAAAAGGCCATCTGGGGCTTCCCCTTTGGACAGGCTCCTCCTAGTCTGCACCCAGAGCTTGTTAGCAGAGGCTGCCGGTAATAAATGACAAAGCATTCCCCTTTATAAAGCAAGTGGATGTTAGCCTTCGGTCTGACTCATGGAAAAAGTTATTCGTCACGGAGCCTTCTCTAGGATTACTGTATTCATTTGCTTAAGGGCTGTTTATTCTGCTTGTTTCAGGCTGACATAGGCCTAGTGCAAAAAAATAAATAAAAATAAAGCTTCTCATGAAGCTGTAGCATCTTCTAGAGGGTCCTTTAGACAAGAACCTTCCTTTTTCACCTGTTTACTGGGGCTCTTGGCCTAGGGAAGGGAGGGGACAATCAGCTTCCTGTCACCATCCCAACCCCATCATGAAAACAGCACTCAGCACACCTGTTTGTGTGCAGGATAACACTGGGCAAAGCCTCTGACCTCCACCTGCTGGTAACACCTTGTGAGTCTGTGTGTGTGTGTGTGTGTGTGTGTGCGCGCGCGCGCGCGTGTGTGCATGTGTTTGTTCAGTCATATGTGACTCTTTGTGACCCCATGGACTGTCGCCCACCAGGCTCCTCTGTCCGTGGGATTTCCCACGGCAAGAATACTGGAGTGGGTTGCCATTCCCTTCTCCAGGGGATCTTCCCCATCCAGGGATGGAACCTAGGTCTCCTGCATTACAGGTGGATTCTTTACCAACTGAGCTACCCGGGAAGCCTGAAGACACTTTATCATCTCCAATAATTCAAGTGGGGGTTCCGAGGAACCCTAAGTCGGCTCCTCAGTGGCTCTCTCTTCATCCCTCTCCATCCCATCGATGGCTTTTCCCATTCATGAGGCCATAGTGAACTCCGGTTGTCAAGCAGGTAGCTCTCTGCCTGGAGAGGTGTGTGTATAGGCCCTGCCAGTGTCAGGATGGGGAAACCAGGTGCAGAGTGATAAAACAAACCACCCCAGACCACGAGCTGGACTGGGAAAGCCAGCTCAGCCCATCTTGGGGACAGTCCTTGCAGGGTGGGCATGCCTAGCCTCTGGTTAGAGCCCCCCCAGATGCCCTCATTCGGTGATTCTGGTTCTGGAAGGGACACCAAGGAGTTAAGAAGGGCAGCTGGCCTGGGACCAAGAAAAAGCCATTCCCAAATTTGTCTGCAGCAGGGATTACAGGTCCTGCTGACAGGCTGATCTCCAGGGCCTGAACTGGAGAGAAGGCCCATATAAGGTCGTCAGCTGTTCGGGATCCACTAGAGACTGCTCTGAATGTGGCAAAGTCTCTTCTCTCGCTTCTCAGCCTCCTTCTGCATTCTTTCTCAACTTTGAACACTGTGACTCTGCTGGAGAAAAGACATCCCTGGGTCCCTCAGGTTTCCTGAAGGGTGAGTTCCGTGACCAGGCTGGCCTGCGGGTTGCCCTGAAGATAGTCTGTGCCCCAGTGCAAGGATAGTCACCCCATGATGTCAGGAAGAGTGGCTGGGTGGGGCTGGTGGTGCTCTAGGCTGGAAGAGGGGCTGTGGGTCAAGGCAAAGGCTGACATCACAGCCTGAGGGAGAAGGGGACACAGAGAATGGAGCCTCCTTGGCCATTTGCCCGGAGATGACTATTATTCAGTTGCCCACAGCGCTCAGTTAAGTACGGGGCCCGGGCAGACCCAGGTGGTTAGTTGCTGACTGTGTTCTATGTGATGTCACTTGTATCCCCTCCAGGTCCTAGCAGAACGGAGTCTTCAGAGCCGAGTTCTGCCCAGAAGAGGATCCAGCGCAGAAGGTTCGTATTTGTCCATCAGAGCTCAGGGGACAGTGGCCGCTGGTCCCTGAGTGAGGACAACTGTGTCTCTCTGGGATGTGCCTTCAGACCAGCTCCTGGTCACTTCAGCTGGACATGGGCCATCAGAAGGGCCCTGCAATAACCTGGGGGACCCAAGCCCCGGGAGGTCCCCGGAGCAGGCCTGGCCCCTCCAGCTGTATGCTCAGCATTGTCCCACCAGCTGCCTGACTTTCCCACCTGGCACCTGCCGGGGTGCTAGTGCTGGGGGCCTGTCTCCCGAGCACAGTTTGGGGTGAACTCAAAACGCCCAGAGAGGGACTTCTCTGGTGGTCTAGTGGTTAGGACTCTGTTCTTTCACTGAGGAAGTTCAATTCTGGGTTGAGGAACAAAGATCCTGAAAGGCTTTCAGGCAGAAAAAAAAAAAAAATCAACTTAAAAAGAAAAAACAATTAAAAAGTTAAAAATAAAAGAGCAGATATATGTAACTAATATACATATATCACTTTGTTATACCCCTGAAACTAATACAACATTGTAAATCAACTATACACTCCTTCCTCACCAAAAAAAAAAAAACACAAAATGAGCTAGAGTCCTAAATAACAAGACAGAAACAATTGCTGGGTATGATGGTGCGAGCCAGCCACCTGCAGAGCACCGGGGTGGGGTTGGGGGGCAGGGGGCTCCCTCGGTCATTGCCAACTGCTTGCACATGTCTGTCCCAAGACCCGCTGTCCCCTCCCAGAGGGTCCCCAGCTCCCTGTTGTGACATGACACGCACAGCTTAAGACCTGCTCTCGCCCCCCGCCCCCACTCCCACCCTGCGGCCACACTGCCCCAGCTCAAGGGGTGGCATTCCAGGCCTGCCGCAGCCACCAAAAAACTTACCAAAAAACCCCGCTGTGGCGAAAACAAGTCAGGGCACTATGGAAATCTGCTTTCAAAGACTCTGCGTGTGTGTAATTTTTTAAAAAAACACATGCTGTGCTTTCTCTTCTCTCATTTTCTTTCTGACAACAGGGAGGCACGCCCTAAAAAACCCAACTAACGCCACCACCAAAAAAGCCAAGAAAAGTAGGGAAACCAGGCGCCTGCTAGGCCATCAGCTCAAGGCTGGCGCTGGGAGATGGGTGGGGGTCATGGGCCTCCGGCCACCGCGTTCTTCCTGAAGGTCCGGGTGATAACGCTCTTTAGACTGCTTGCTCCGTCTTTTTTTTTAAAAATAACTTCTTTGGTGGGTGGAAAGGAAGTGACCAAACTTACTTTGAGACTGGTGACATGACAGTATGCTCCTAAAATAGGGGGCTGCTTTTGTTTCTCGCAAATGAAGTGTTTGTTTCCTAACCCCCACCCAGGTGAGGGGAGAGCTTCAGGTTCTATGAGGCAACTCAGAAACCGGGGAACTGCCGTGGACAGGCCGGGGCTCTCTCGCTCCTGTGAGAGGTGCTTACACGGCAAACTGCCGGTGAAAGTGACAGAACAGTGCCAGAAAAAGATGCCAAAGGACCTATGTGCAGAAAGAAACCTGCTAAATCTATTCATGTTCCAACTGGACGCCTTTGCCCTGAAGCAAAAGCACTTTAGAAAACAAGTAAGACTTAACATGCATGGCCTGTGCCCCAGTGCAGGGGGTCGGAAAAGCTGGTGCCTCTTCTGGTCTCTCACATTAATCTGACAATTGTGCAGGAGACAGGACCTCGGGCCTCTTGAGTCCCTGTCTGAACCGTGGGGAGATGTTCCCTCTGCTTCTCCTGGCACCGTGGGTCTCCAGGACCAAGTTCTCTAAATTAAGGAGATGAATGAACCTTCTCAGACATGAAATTCAGAGAGAAACCCAGGGACGAGAACAGAAGCTCTGTAGCCCTCTAGGAGTGGCAGCAGCTTTGGCAGAGCCAATTTCACATCAGAGAACGGTCCAAGTGCCAGGCTCGGTCAGCTTGGAAAAAGAAACCACATCAGTCAAATGCAAATTCATGGGCGCAACTACACAAAAGCAGGGTTGGAAGTGGACCCGACTGGCAATGTGGGCCAGAGCAAAAGTCCTCCCCTGCCCAAGTCCCTGGATCAACACGGACTCTCTCTCTGAAGCTGGATGGAGGGAAGAGCAAGGCCCCCCACTCACCTGTGTAGAAGCTGGAATCATTAGTTTCTTGCTCGAAGATGCTCTTGGTCTGCGAGTCGAATCGGAGCCATAGGCCGACGGAAAGGACTGCGATCCCGGCAAGCTGCAAGACACACAGGACGTCGGTGTGAGCCTGGCTGCCGGGGACACGGTGGTATCCCGGGGAGCCGCCCTTGGCCTCTGCCCCTCACCAGGGACCTGGTAGCAGCAGCAGCCAGGCTGGGGTGGGGACAGGGGATCATGTCATTTGCTAAAAATAACAACCAGTGGGGAATAAACAATTATCTACCAGCAGTACAGGGATGGTTATTGTGTGGACAGAATATTATAAAGCAGTGAACACGAACCAGCTGTGACACTATGAATGCATCTCACCATGTTAAACAGAAGCAGGCACTTCCCGGGCTGTCCAGTGGTTCCAATGCAGGGGACACAGGTTTGACGTCTTGTCGGGGAACTAAGATCCCATGTGCCTCTGGGCAACTAAGCCCATGCAGCACAACTACAGAGCCTACCAATGACAGAGCCTATGAGCTCTGGACCCCGAGTGCGACAACAAAGATCCCACATCCTACAACCAAGACCGGACACAGCCAACAATAAATAAATAAATAAATATTAAAAAACAAAAACACAGAAGAAGCAAAAAGCAACAAACACACACAACAGGATTCCAAACAGTTAAAAATGACTATTTAGGGGTGCATGCATGTAAATCATAACAGAAAAAGAAGAAAGTGACGATCGTAAAATCAAGTGAGTGGTGGTCAATAGGGAGGCGGGGTTTCTGATGAGGGAACAGCAGTGGGGGTGGGGTGGGGTGGGTAGGTCTATAGCACTGGCAATGTTCTAGCTTTGACTTGAGTGGTGGTGGTCCAGATAGTCACCTCACAATTATTCTTTACTGTTTTCTGCACTCTTCTGTACATACACCATACAATAAAAAAAAAAAAACAAGAAAAAGGTCACCCAAAGAGCAGGCACATCCCCGGCTCTTCAGGCAGCTGTGATTCCTGAGCCATGTCACCCAGTGAAGCCTCCCCCATATCTGGTCCCATCCTGTTCACACAGGGAAGCCTCACAACCTGACCCACCCAACTCTAGGGTTAGCTGGACACATCATTATGAGTGATCCTCATAAACATTAGACAAGAAGCCTTCAAGGGATCATTCAATCCTACAATTTAGTGAAAAGTTCCCTGCAGTAGGAAATGGCAACCCACTCAGGTATTCTTGCCTGGAAAATTCCATGGACAGAGGAGCCTGGTGGGCTACAGTCCATGGGGTCACAAAGGGTTGGACATGACTAAGCATGCACATGCCCATTTCAGAGGTGGGCAAGTTGAGATACTAGACCTGAAAGGGCAGATTTCCCCAATAAGGAAAGCCTGAGGCATCAGTCCTGGCCTCAGGCACTGCTGAACTCGGTGCCAGGAGGAGGCTCCCTGCCCAGCCCCCCAGCCGACTGGGCTCCCCTCCCCACAGCTGGCCTGTACCAGGGCTTGCCTGAGTGACTCACAGGCTGTGGGTGGTGGCCGGCTGGATGAAGGCGTGTGGGCTTGGGGCCAACACCCAGCCCCAGGTTTTACCGGCCCACCCTCTTCAACAGAGACAGGCGCCCTGCGTCAGAACCCTACTCAGGGAGCTGGGTTCTCTGCCCCAGGGGCCAGGACAGCCTGTGGTGTAGACAGGCTTCTTCTCTCTCTCTCTGCTTCTCTCCTTTTCAACATGAGTGGCAGCATTTGGGTATATTCAGTGGAGCATGTAGATGGCTACAGTGGGAGGGGTGACCCAAGACTTCAGACTGCAATAGAAACAAAACCTTGTCTATACCCACAGCGGGTGTCCACAGTGAGGGTCTGGAATTCCTTAGAATTCTATCTCTTTGGTTCTCCCATCTGGCAAACAGGAATAGTAAGCCCAGATCCTTTGACTCAGTCTGGGTTCTCCCAACTCTCAGGACTGCCCAGAACAGGGGCCCAGCTAGAAAATGTCCATGTACTGGGGACTAAGGCCCAAGATCCTGGCCTACCTATCTGGGGATCTTGGAGTTACAAGAAAGAAGGTAAGACTTTCCCCTTCTCCACTTCCAACACAAGGAGACCCAATTGGGCCCCTGGAAAATGGAAGGCCACTGGCTTCTTTTGGGATATGAAAGCATTAACCTGAAAAGCCTGGAAGCTGGAGCTTTGAGCGCACTTGCAGGTAGTCCTAGACAGTGGTTAGCACTGAGAACAAATCCTGGCCTCCGTATCTCCTCTTGCCCTCATCCTGGCAGGGATGTTGCTGAGAACACCTGGGCCTGAGAGGCCTGTCCTTTCCTGTCCTTTCTGCTCCAGGCTGCCTGCTCTCATCCAAGAATTATCCTCCAGTCATTCTCCCTGTGGATAAATGTACTCATCCACCCTTTATTCTGCCGGGAAAATTCTTAAATGAGTCAGCACACACACACACACACACAAAATAAAAACAATCCCTTTTGAAAGAACTAAGCTATAAAAGATGGTGATGGCTACACTCTGTCCAGAAGCTTCACAGGGCAGGAGCTGGGTCTCCTGGGGAATGATTCCATGCATGGGTAATGACACACAAATGAAACTCCCATTCTGTAATTTCAAGGACACATGCACAGGTGGCAAGGTGACAACTGGACCCAGAAGGTCCCAACCTGGTCAAGGACAAGGCCAGACACAGGACAGTCCAGGGTCCTGCCATATCTGGACCCCATCCCAAACCTAACATCAAGAGGAAGGAAAAGACTGGTTCTACAGAAGTGGAAAAAGCAGTAATAGATCTCAGTTTCTGATGCCTAAAAACTCACCATGAGCAAGGAAGAAGGTTCAGCCTTCCAGGAGGTAAGGATATCAGGGGCAGGACTGAGAGGCTCAGTTCCCACTCACTCTTTTTTATGGCTGAGTAATATTCCATTGTATATATGCTCACCAAAATCACAGACAAATGAGCCCTGCTGCCTGCTTTGATTAAATTGTTGAGCTAACTGGCTTGAGGGGATACTGTCAACAACTGCCTTGTTTTCTGTAGTGCTGTTGGATAAACAGTTGGAACTGGCTAGAGGTCACAAGGCCATCCATGATGGGCTTCCCTGGTGGCTCAGATGGTAAAGAATCCGGCTGCAATGTGGGAGACCTGGGTTTGTTCCCGGCGTTGGGAAGATTTCCTGGAGAAGGGCATGGCAATCCACTCCAGTATTGTTGCCTGGAGAATCTCCATGGACAGAGGAGCCTGGCAGGCTACAGTCCATGGAGTCACAAAGAGTCAGACATGACTGAGTGATTAAGCACAGCATAGCACAGCTCAGGGCCATGATACCACTTAACAGTAGCCTCCCTGGGTGTGCAGACAGTGCTATCCAGAGAGCTCAGAGCACTTCTCAGGAGGGCCCACTGTTTGGTGTGCACAGAGGGTTCCCTAGCCCCACACCTGGCTTTCGCCCCTAGCTACCTGAGTCCTAGGAGAAACCAAACGGGAATGACCAGAAAGAACGAAAAAGAGCTTTACTGTTTAAAAAACAGTGTCACCCAAGGTTCATAGCAGCACTATTTACAACAGCCAAGACAACCTAAGTGTCCAGCAACAGATGAATGGATAAAGATGTGGAACATATATACAATGGAATATTACTCAGGCACAAAAAAAGAATGAAACAATGCTATTTGCAGCAACATGGATGGATCTAGAAATTATTAAGCGAGGTGAGCAAGTCAGGAAGAGAAAGACAAACACCACATGATATCACTTATATGTGCAATCTAAGAAAATGATACAAATTAGGAGTTTGGGATTAACATTTACAGACTACTATATATAAAATATATAAACAACAGATCTTACTGAATAGCACAGGGAACTATATTCAATATCCTGTAATAAGCCATAATGGAAAAGAATATGAAAAAGAATAGGTATATATCTGTATCAGAGTCCCTTTGCTATACACAGGAAACGGATAACATTGTAAATCAACAAGACTTCAATTAAAAGGGTCAGCAAGTTATGGAAGGACTCCATAAAATAAGGACATAGGGGTCTGGGGTGGGGGTGGGGCAAGAAATTGACTGTTTCCTCCCGGGTTAATGCACAGCACGTGGCAGGAATGTCGACCACACCGATGCTGCAGCTGCAGCCTTGCCTCTCACCCGTTATGGCAGGACTCGAGCACATGGATCATGAATGCTGATGATTCCCTGCTCACAGGGTCTTGGAAAGAGAGCAGCAACCTGCCTGCCATCACCAACCTGTCTGGTGGGGATGAAGTAGAAATTATGGCCCTTCCACTCCCAGCTCCAGGCCCCAATCACCGATAACAAAAGCCCACGGGACAGATTCTAACTTTAGGCCAGAAATAGTCCTACACATTTGATAGACTGGGGCAAGAGTATAATTTTTTCCATCGTTTTATTGGAGATTTCTTTATTTCTTCAAGAATGTTCATTTTCTAAGAGGATGGGCCAGGAGAGAGAAACACTAGACAAACCTAGCAAAATAATTGACCAGAACATCTCAAAACTGTCAGGGTCATGAAAAATGAGGACAATGAGGTCAGAAAGATGCTGTCACAGACCAGAGGAGACAGAGGAGACTGCACACCCATCACCTGGTATCTTGGGTGGGATCCTGGACCAGAAAGGTGACAGGACCGGAAAAACAGGTGAAATCTGAGGAAGTCTCGTTTAATTAAGGGTAATATAGCAATGTTGGTTTCTGCGCTGTGACAACTGTACCCTGGGAATATGAACTGTGGACGAGAAAGAAGATGGGGGTGGTGGGGAGTACAAGGGAACTTTCTGTAGTATCTTTGCAACTTTTCTGTAAATCAAAAGCTGTCATAAAACTGTGTGTGTGTGTGTATGTGTATGGTGGGGCCTCTCTTTCAAAACTTCCTGTCTCCTTCAAGAACCTGCTCCATTAATCCACCTCCTTCCTGCCTCTGTGGCCTGTCTCAGCCACTGTTTCACTTTCTGCCAACACACAGAGGAAGGTTTGTCTGTCCTAAAAAAACCCATCAGAAAATAAGCCCTCTCTTCCTCCAACCGCTTTGCTCCTCCCGGCTGCTCGGTGTTTTAACCCCAGAGTTTGTAGCTA